GTCCTTCAGCGGAGGGGCAGAGAAAGAGGGAGAGAGAGGATCTCAAGCAGGCTCTGAGCTGACAGCGCAAATCCCGATGTGGGGCTAGAACCCACAAACTGTGAGATCATGACCTGAGCTGAAATCAAAAGTTGTACGCTTAAACTCCTGAGCCACCCGGGCACCCCAGACCCTCCCTTCCTTTTTAATATTGACTTAGCTATTTATATACCTTTTTCCTCCATATAATTTTTTAAATGTTATTTATTTTTGAGAGAGAGAGCATGAGTGGGGGAGGTGCAGAGACAGAAGGGAACAGAGGATCCAAAGCAGGCCTTGCACTGACAGCAGCAAGCTCGACGCGGGGCTCAAACTCACAAGCCATGAGATCATGACCTGAGCCAAAGTCAGACGCTCAACCAACCAAGCCACCCAGGTGCCCTGTGCCTCCATATAAATTTTAGAATTGGTTTACTAAGTACTTAAAAAAAACCATTTTGATTAAGATTGCTTTAAGTGTATGGGCTCATTTTAAGAGAATTGACATGTGGATATTAAGATATCCTATCGAAGGACATGGATGGTTTCATTTTTTTCAGATATTTTTATGTATCCTTTATTGACATTTTAATTTTTTAAAAACAATCTCTGTGCCTGACGTGGGGCCCCAACTGATGACCCTGAGATTAAGAGTTGCATGGGGCACCTCAGTGGCTCAGTCAGTTAAGCATCTGATTTGGGTTCGGGTCATGATTTCATGGTTTGTGAGTTCGAGCTCCACATTGGGCTCTGTGCTGGCAGCTGGAGCCTGCTTCTGATTCTGTGTCTCCCTCTCTCTCTATTACTCCACCGCTCATACTCTCTCTCTCGCAAAAATAAACATTAAAAAAAAAAAAGAGCTGCATGCTCTATGGATTGAGCCAGTCAGACACCCCCAAAAACTTTGTTTGAATTGGTTATTACAGGGGAACCTGAGTGGCTCAGTTGGTTGAGCTTCTGACTCTTGATTTCAGCTCAGGTCATGATCTCACTGTTTGTGAGCTCAAGCCCTGAGTGGGGGACTCTATGCTGACAGCATGGAGCCTGCTTAGGATTCTCTCTCTCTCTCTCTCTCTCTCTCTCTCTCTCCCTCCCTCCTCCCTTTACTCCTCCCCAGCACACCCTCACTCTCTCTCTCAAAAATAAACATGAGTTGGGGCACCTGGGTGGCTTAGTTGGTTAAGTGTCCGACTTTCGCTTAGGTCATGATCTCGCGGTTCGTGGGTTCGAGCCCCGCGTCGGGCTCTGTGCTGACTGCCAGCTCAGAACCTGGAGCCTATTTCAGAGTCTGTGTCTCCCTCTCTCTCTGACCTTCCCCTGCTCACGCTGTCTTTCTCTCTCCTAAAAATAGATTTAAAAATATATTTAAAAAATAAACATGAATTGGTTATTGCACTGTTACTGAAATGATCGTGATTTTTAAAAGTCTTTTTATTTATTTTTGAGAGAGAGATAAAGACAGCGTGAACAGGGGAGGGTCAGAGAGGGAAATACAGAATCTGAAGACAGATGGGGTGCCTGGGTGGCTTAGTCGGTTAAGCGTCCGACTTTCGCTTAGGTCATGATCTAGCGATTCGTGGGTTTGAGCCCCACGTCGGGCTCTGTGCTGACTGCCAGCTCAGATCCTGGAGCCTGTTTCAGAGTCTGTGACTCCCTCTCTCTCTGACCCTCCCCTGCTCACGCTGTCTCTCTCTCTCTCTCTCTGTCTCTCTCAATAAACAAAACATTAAAAAAAAAAAAAAAAGAACCTGAAGACAGGCTCCAGGCTCTGAGCTAGCTGTCAGCACAGAGCCCAACACAGGGCTCGACCCCATGAACCACAAGATCATGACCTGAGCCGAAGTCCGACACTCAGCCGACTGAGCCACCCAGGCGCCCCTAAATGATCATGATTTTTGTAGGTTGATCTTATATCACCCATGATAATCTCTTTGCTTTTTTGCTGCCCTGTTTGAGGATGAAAAGCATTTCTAAAACATCTTAGTCAATTGTGGATACCAGCCAAATCATTGATAAAAGCCCTTTTCTGATATTTATCATCCTAATTAGCAAAGCCTCTAGTGTTGATCAGAGATGGATGAGTGCCTTGTGGCAGCTGCGGCTGGAGCCTGCTCTTTTAATTAAAATCCATCTGACACCCCCCCCCCCCTCCGTGCCCTCCCCACCTGGGGAGTAACTAACCTCTGGGGTGCAGTTTAAAACCAACTCACATAGCCACGAGGGGGCGCTGAGACCCTACGTCTATACGAGGAGGCTTTCTGTGCGCAGAGAGAATGTGGCCACCAGGGGGCACTATTTGTGGCAAGCACCTACTGTGTGCCAGCCCTTTTTCCACACATGAGGACAGCCATACCTAAGGCAGGCCAGGAGGAAGGTCGGGGAGTGTAGCCAGACAATAAAATAAGCTAACGATTATGTCAGGGTGTAATAAATTCTACGGAGAAACTAAATCAGGGTGACAGGGTGGTGACATAAGGCGTGGCTCCTTAGTTACCTAAGGGGCTCACAGAAACGCTCTGAGATTACATTAAGGGAGGAGGAGGGACCCTGAGAGAAGAGTGCTCTGGGCAGAGGAAGCTTGTCTATCTGTGGTCCTGAGGGAGTGAGGTGGGAAGTGGCGAGTGCAGGGAGGAGTGTTTAGGGAGGACTTTGGTTTTTGTTCTGAGAGCAGGGGAAGCCTAAGGAGGGGTTGTGATATGAAAGATGTCCCGATAGGTTGTTTCATGAAAAAGAGCAAGGTTAGGGCAGTGTTTAATGTTTGCCTTAAGCATAGAATAGAATCCAGGTTCCCACTCGTTTATATTTGCAGAAAGAAATCCTAGAACAATACCTAGAAGTTGATTTTTAAAATGATGAATTGGAGGGAGGAGGAACGGAGTGGATGGAGACAAAGGCCAGAGAGGGAAAGGCATCACTGGCTGCCGAGTGGGAAACAGACAGACCCTGGGAGGCAGGGAGACCAGTGAGGAGGCAAGTGAGGCAGTGCAAGGGTAGAAGGTCAGGTGCATGGTGTCCTCTGGGGGCTCTGTCACATCAGAGGGCTTGAAAATCAGTGTCCCCAAAGTACATCTTTGCTAGCCAGTGATGATGCTTAGCCAACTGAGCCACCCAGGCACACCCTGAGATAGCCTATCTAAAGGGCAATACAGGGGGCACCTGGGTGGCTTAGTCGGTTGAGCGTCCGACTTTCGCTTAGGTCATGATCTCGCGGTTCGTGGGTTCGAGCCCCGCGTCGGGCTCTGTGCTGACTGCCAGCTCGGAGCCTGGAGCCTGTTTCAGTCTGTGACTCCCTCTCTCTCTGACCCTCCCTTGCTCACGCTGTCTCTCTCTCTCTCCTAGAAATAAATAAAACATTTAAATAAATAAATAAATAAATAAAGGGCAATACAGGGGCACCTGGGTGGCTGTCAGTTAAGCATCTGGCTTTGGCTCGGGTCATGATCTCATGGTTCATGAGATGGAGCCCCACATTGGACTCTGCTGTCGGCGTGGAGCCCCCTTCAGATCCTCTGTCCCCTTCTCTCTCTGCCCCTCCTCTGCTCACATTCTCTCTCTCAAAAATAAACATTTAAAAATAATTAAATAAAATAGCTCAGGAGTAGGGACAATCACTAACACTTTAGTATGAGTTAGTCAACCCCTTCCTGACACTAAAGTGTCACAACCACCGCTATGGTTTATAGGACAATAGGGTAGGAGTTAAATAGCTGGGCTCTGGAGTCAGGTGTCTGGGATTGAAGCCCAGCGCCACTTTCCAGGTGTGTGACTTTGGGCAGGTGATAGCACTAAACCGGGCCTCAGTTTCCTCATCTGTGCAGCCCCCTTTTTCCAGATGAGGAAACTGAGAAGCTCAACACATGGCACACCCAGGACTTTTGAACCTGAGTTTTGAGAACGACCATCTCCACAAAATGAGGAACCAAAAACAGGTTGTGAGAGTGAAGTTCGAAGCAGGCCCCAGAGGATGTGCTGGGAGATGGGCCCAGGCTACCTCCGGCCTCCACACCTTCACTCTCTACACAATTAGGTGGAGGAAAGGAGACCCTGAAGCCTGAAGTCCATCTGTGCAGGGACAGCAAGGCCACCTGAAGGGCTGGCTGCAGGGGGCCCCTGCGTTCCCCTTCTTCAGCTTCCTGCCAGACTAGAGCTCAGACCCCCTGGGGTGGGTGGCCCATCCTAGCTGGGCTGCAGGGTGGCGCAGGGTAAGGACAGGGCTGGGACCCCAACTCCAGTTAGTAGTAGAGGCAAGATGTGAAGTGTGCTTTGCCCTGGGCGGGGGGGGGGGGGGGGGGGGGGGGGGGGAAGACCCCCTGGCTCTGGCCCTGCTCCGGCTCGGCTCTGGCTCCTGACTGTATGGGTTAAACAGCTACCACTTCTGATGCTCTAGTCCCTCCCCCAGCCCCGCCCCTGGAACCCCTCTGGCCTCCCTCTGCCCCAGCCCAGGGCCCTCCCGGATCCAGCTGGGGGGGGGGGGGGCTATGCATCCTGACTGGTGGGCGGCCCTGCCAATATTTGGTATCCTCCCTGGCCTAGTCTCCATGTCGATCCCTTCACCCACAAGGTTCAGAGTCCTCAGATATGGGTTCCCATTTCATGCAAACTCCTATGCATCCTTCAAAGCCTCGCCTCAGTGTCACTTTCTCCAGGAAGCCCCCTTCCGTTGGTTTGTTCATGGTGTGCTGTGGCGTTGGGCACGTTTGGTTCTGCACGTCTCCCATGGAGGACCTCAGGCCGTCATTCCCACAGGACCCCTGAATGACACCTACAGTGGCCCTGCTGGCTTGGGCTGGGCCAAGGCTGGGGGGGTGGGGGCCAAGATGAGTCCCAGGGGCAGGGGAGTGCAAGGTCAGCAGGGCCTGTTCTCATGCTCTCTGGCTGAGGAGTGATCCTCCATCTGTCGGGCCAGCTGCGGGTGCTGGGAGACGAGGGGGGGGCGGCTCGGGAAAGCCCAGTGATCAGGGAGAGGAAAAACAGGCACGCCGTGTCATTACAGAACCATTACATACAACTTATAAACAAGCCAGGAGGGGAGGGGGGAAGGGAGGGGGGCACAGAGGCGAGAAGGTCAGGGTGGCACGGTCCGGGCAGGGTCCTGGAGGGGGCTCAGGCTGCTGTCGCCGGAAGGGCTGGGCTGGCGGAGACCTGGCTGCTTGTGGAGGCCTCGAAGCTTCGCCAGCAGCTCCTGGACGAAGTCCTGAGGACAAGGCGGGGATCCTGAGAACACGGGGAGGGGTGGGCCCCCCCCCAGCCCCCGGCCCCTCTGACCTGGTCAGTGAGAGGGCGTGGGGGGGCTTAGGGAGGGCGACAAAAGGCAGAGCGCGGTGGGGGGGGGGGACACACAGAGAAAGACGGGGAGATAGAGCCAGAGAGAAAGAAACAGAGACAGAGCCCCAGAAACTAGGAGTAAGACATAGGTGCGGAGACAGAGACAGACGCAGAGGGAGAGACGAAAGGGCAGAGAATAGCCACAGAGACATCAAGATGTTTCTCAGGGCAAGAGATCACCAGGAGGGTCCCCAGGGACGGAGGCCTTCGCTCCAGGGCAGACAGACACACAATGACGTTTGTCCCTCAGGCAGCACAGAGCCATTTAGAGAAACATGAATATTTTTCCCTTTTAAAGCAGGGAAGGAAGTGGGAGGGGTTGGGCCGCTCAGTTCCAGATTCTGGAGTGAAGGGGGGGGGGGGGCAGAGGTGGGGAAGGGAGAAGCAGCCCTGGGAGGGGAGTAGGGGCCACCCGGAGAGGCTGAGCCCAAAGACCCGAGGCCCCAAGGAGAGAACAGCAGAGGAGACAGATGGGGAGCGTCTCGCTGGGGAGGAGATAATGGGGTGGCAGATGGGGAGACAGGAGCCGAGGTGAGGAGGACAAAGACACCCGTGGAGAAGAGAGAAGGGCTGAGTGACACAGAGGGCTCCCCAGAGTTCCCGCTTGCGACCTGGGCAAGGCAGCGCCTTCCCTCCTCCCCAGGGACCCCCTTCTTCTCCCCCCGGATGCAGGGGCCAGAACAGGGCCTGCGGCGTGGGAGGCACAACTCACCTCTGTGGGGCTCTTGCACGACTTCAGGAGTCCCTAGACACCCCGGCCCCCCCGCAAAAAGAGAAAACAGTAAATGGCCAGCGCCTAATCCCCTCCAGCCCCTTCTTTCCCAGCAAAGCCCCGAGGCAACAAGACAGAAGGAAGTCAGACTCCGGGTGGACTTCCCATCTGGTTTCAAGGGAGGAACCTGGCCCAAGGGTCTTACAGAGCAAGGGGCGGAGGGCAGGGGCAGAGTCAAGAAACTCAGCACCGGGACCAGCTCTGAATCCAGAGAGGGCCAGAAGGTCACACAGCCTTTCCTGTCTCTGGGAGAGCACAGGCCCTGACAGCAAGAACAGGGCTCTCAGACGGCTTGGCTTCGACTCCCAGCTCTGCTCCTTCTGAGCTGGGCCCCCGAGCAAGTGGTCAAATCTCTCGGGGCCTCATTTTCCTCATCTGGAAAATGGGAGATAATTACAGTGATAATAACAGAAGGGAGATGATAAACCCTTGGCAGAGTTTGTGAGGCTAAAAGGAGTCAAGTGGAAAACAACTGAAACAGTGCCTGGCACATACTAGGTGCTCAATAAACATGTTAACTATTGCTGTGATTTTTTTAGGAAGGTGCAAGGGTGGCGGCTTTCCCCCCACCCCGCCCCACCCCCACCTACCTGGACTTTCCGGCTTCTCTCCTCCTCACTCTCTAATTCCAACAATTCATCAATGTTGACCTCGTCTGGCATGTCGGCCTCCTAAGGCAGGGAGGGAGGGGCGGTCAGGGTCCCTCTCCGGTCCCTCCCTGGCTGCCCCCCCCCCCGGCCTTTGTCCAGCGCTCGGGAGGAGCCCCACCGGCCCCAGGGCCCAGCTGGCGGGTTCTGGAGCAACAATGTGGCAGTCAGGGACAGCACCGCCAAGGCGGGACATCTGGGTGCTGGGGGGAGAGGGGGAGGGGTGACAGATGGGCTGACAGAGACCCAGGGGCCTGTACCAGCTCAGACGCCTGGGCCCCAGGGCCCAGCGAGCCTTGGGGCTGGCACAGGTCTCTCCTCTTGGCCCCAGTCCCCATAGTGGGAAACAGGCCTGGTCGAGTCTTGGAATGTCAAGATTCTGGGATTCGGGAGAGGGGCTGGCTCTGCCCTTTCAAGGAAAAGTCTAAGCACTAGGTGTGGGGGAGGGGAGCAGGCGGGCCGGAGCCTCCTGCCGGGGGGCAGCCCCTTGCCCAAGAGGACGGGGAGGGAGCGTAGGGCTCAGGCCAGCCCCCAGCGTCAGTAGTGTGCCCTGGTCAGTCCACAGAGACGGCCACCAAAGCCCCCGGGCTGGGTGGGCGGGATGAGCCAGGAGCCCAACTGTGAGCAGCCAAGAGGGGGGGTAAGCTCTCGAATAGCCTCTAGGGGCAAAGGGCAGAATGCAGGCTCACTGTCCCTGTGGGGGACGGAATCCAGCTGTCAAGGCAAGAGACGCCTGAGGTACAAGATTTTCCTTCCCCACCCAGAGCCCTTTTGACTTCACTGTGGGCCTCAGGGCTGGGTGGTCCCGGCTTTGTGTGCGGAGAAGGGGCGAAAGCAGGGAGAGTCTATAGGTGTGCCACACAGCCTGCTGGGGGCTCTGTCGTGAGCTCAGCCCGATGCCAAGGGCCTGGGGCCGGCGCAAGAGGGAGAGGTGTGCAGCCTCGTGTGTGTCCGCACGCGTGTACTGCACGGCGGCCAGTCCTGTGACTGGGAGGCATGTGGCTCCGGCTTAGTTGTGTCACCGTCAATGTGTCAGGGCGGCTGTAGTGCCCCTCCCGTCTGAGGATGTCACCTACCACTGGCAACTGGACTTCTCTGTCCACTTCCAGGAGCCAACCCGTGTGTCTGAGCACAAAAGGGCCCACGGCTTCTTTCACCGCCAAGCTGTGCTGTGGAGCACTTGTGCGTCCTGCCTGTACAGCGACACAACCATCAGGTCCCCGGGACCACGTTTTTGCGTGTTGTACAGGGTGACTTCAAGCAGAGACCCCAGCCCACCGTGTGAAGCGTCTGTCCGCAGCCTCTGCGTCAACGCCTCAGGCCGCAGCTTGGGCCCCGGGTGCCCGCCGGTGGTGGCACCTGTTTCTACCTGCAGAGCTTGTGCGGTTTTCCGTCCGGGTGTCGCTGTCATTCCTGTGATTTTACGTCTGTTAAGTGGCTGTAGCATCTGCCATTGTGTTTGCCATGTGGTTATTGGTTTTGCTTTTAGAAGATAACGGGTGGCTGTTACTTGAATCGTTAGGTGTCGGGGGTCGCTGAAGCTTGGCCCGGCTGTGAATTGCTACCCTGTGTATCTAGGAAGAGCGGTAACCGGAGCCCTTTTGTGTAGCTGTAGCTGTGCTGTGTGTGTGCGTCGGGCTGGGGCCTGTGCTATGGTGTCTGTGGGGGCCTGTGGCACACGTTGATCTGTAGGTGAGCACAGCTTGTGTCCTTGAGTCTGTACGTGGCTGTCGCTTCTGTTGCTGTGTCTGGTAGTGGCTCTAACTTGTCACCGTGCGCGTCTGTAAACGCTGTTGCTTCCTTTGCTGTGGTCTCTGTGTCTCTGTATCTTCCCGGTCACCACATCTATGTTTGGCTTTAAGACCTCCCCTTCCCACAACTTTTCTCCAGATATGGCCGCTCTGGCCCTGCAGCTCTGCCTCCTCACCCCCCACATGCTCAGTCACCGGCCTTCAGCAGGTGTCTGGACACATCTCTGGAGGCGCAAGTGTGTGTCTGTGCCCACAAGCTAGTGCCATGGAGGAGGGACAGTAGGGTCAATGAGTCCCCTGAGTGCCTGGTTCCGGGGAGTGCGTTCTCTTGTGTGACCGAGGCCAGCCCAAGCAACCGGAGACCCGAAGGGCGTAGGGTGTGCAGGCCCGGGGTCTGTCGTCCCCCTCCCCCACTACGCCTCCATACCCCTCCCTGCCTCACCCTGCCGCGGTACAGCTCCTCCAAGCGCCCGTCGATCCACTTCTCCACGTCCAGCCGCCGCTGCAGCTCCCGCCGGTCATACTTGACGGTGACACGCGCGTGTCGTTTCTGCAGCCCCCCGGGGCTTCCCCCTGGCCCGCGGGCACGCGACGGGGACTGCAGCTTGCTCAGCACCCGCTTGCCCAGCCGCTGAGCTGCCATCGCCGTCCTGGCCCCGGCCTCCGCGCAGCGCTGTGCGCTTTCGCCAGGCGCCCAAGGGGCCTCTTACGGGACGGGGCGGGGCCGGCCGGGGGCGGGGGCTCGGGCTCACCCGGGGCCCAGCTCCGCCCCAGCCGCCCGGGCCTCAGTTTCCCCGCCTGCAGCGCGGGGCCTGGTCTCTGCACCGAGTAAAGCCCGCAGCCGTGCACAGGTCTAGGTACCGGCGCGATCCCGGAGTCCCAGGGCAGAGCCCTGCGCCTGGGGCTCCAGCGGCTGGGGCTCCCGAGGGGCGGGGTCCTGGGGCAGGCTCTTGGGGACCCGGCCTTTCTGCGCCCCCTGGCGGTTGCCAGGGACAGTGCAGGAGCGCGTGTGCCATCTTTCTCTGCCAAGGAAGATGGAACTAGAGGACCCACAGTACATCATTTGTTCGTCTTTCATTTATTCATTCATGCAGCCTTTCATTCATTTATTCACTCACTCTACTCAACACGTATGTGTTCATTTGACATCACGTCATCTGTTAGCCTCTCTCTCATATCAGACTCCTTAAGCCCCATAGCATCCGGTACTAACCACCCTGGTTATTACCAGGCTCCTCCTCCCTGACACCCTTCCCCACGGGTTTCTTGGTGACCTGTGCAGAGGGAGAAGGCATCTGCTCCCTTCAGTCCTCTCAGCTTTATATATATATATGCAAAATCTCAGTAACACAGTACACACACACACACACACACACACACCAGGCTCTGTTCTAGGCACTAGAGATAAAGAACAGAAGACAAGCCCAGTCCTCAAGGAGCTGATATCCTTGTGGTGGAGACAGGCAGTAAATACATAAGTAAGCACTATTATACAGCTTATTAGAGTATGCTAAGCTCTATGGAGAAATATGAAGTAGAAAAGGAGTAATAAAGTGAGGGCGGGGTTGCAATTTTAACAAGGGCGATCACAGAAGTCTGTTCTTTCACAATATGCTCACTTCTTTTTAAAAATTTTTTTTGAAATGTTTATTTTTAAGAGAGAGAAAGAGAGCATGAGTGGGGGAAGGGCAGCGAGAAGGGGAGTAACAGTGGACCTGAGGTGAGTTCTGTGCTGGTAGCAGAGAGCCAGATGCAGGGCTTGAACTCATGAACTGTGAGATCATGACCTGAACTAAAGTCAGCTAAGGTCGGATGTTCAAACAACTGAGCCACCCAGGCGCCCCACCAGTATTCCCACTTCCTTTAAAGTTTTTTTTTTAAGTTTATTTATTTATTTTGAGAGAGAGGGAGGACAAGCAGGTGAGAGGCAGAGAGAAGGAGAGAAAGAATCGCAAGCAGGCTCCACACCATCAGTGCAGAGTCTGATGTGGGTCTTGAACTCATGAACCATGAGATCATGACCTGAACCGAGTCGGAAGCTTAACTGACTGAGTCACCCATGATTGCCACTTCTAACTGTAAGCAGCAAAAACGATACTTTAAAACTTAAGTTTGGCCACCGCATCCCTGCTTAAAACTATCCATAAGTAGGCAATGGTCCCTTAGATATGACACCAGAAGCACAAGCAACAAGAGAAAAAATAGATGAATTGAATATCATCAAAATTTAAACATTTTATGTTTCAAAGGACATAATCAAGAAGTGAAGAGACAACCCACAGAATGGGGGAAAATTACAAATCATGTTTCTCATAAGGTACTTGGTATCTAAAAATTTTTTTAAATGTTTATTTTTGAGAGAGCAAGAGGCAGAGTGTGAGCAGGGGAGGGGCAGAAAGAGAGAGAAAGAGACAGAATCTGAAGCAGGGTCCCGGCTCTGAGCAGTCAGCACAGAGCCCGATGTAGGGCTTGAACACATGTGCGGAAGTTGGATCCTCAACCGAATGGGCCACCCAGGTGCCCCTGACTTGTATCTAAAATAAGTGGTGGGGCACCTGGCTGGCTCAGTCAGTGGAGTGAGTGACTTGATCTCAGGGTTGTGAGTTTGGGCCTCATGTTCAGTGTAGAGACTACTTTAAAACATTTAAGGGGCCTCTGGGGGGCTCAGCTGGTTGAGCGTCCCACTCTTGATTTCGGCTCAGGTCATGATCCCAAGGTTGTGGGATTCTGCCCTATGTCAAGCTCTGTGCTGAGCATAAAGCCTGCTTAAGATTCTCTCTCTTTCTCCCTCTGCTCCTCTCCAGCTCAGTCTCTCTCTCTCTCTCTCTCTCTCTCTCTCTCAGTGTCTCTCACTCAAGTTAAAAAAAAAAAAAATTAAAGGCACCTGGGTGGCTCAGTCAGTTAAGCATCCAACTCTTGATTTCAGCTCAGGTCATGATCTCACGATTCGTGAGTTGGAGCCCCATATTGGGCTTCATGCTGACAGCTCAGAGCCTACTTGGGATTTTCTCTATCCCTCTCTCTCTGCTCCTCCCCACCTCTCTCTCTCTCAAAAGAGATAAATAGATAGATAGATAGATAGATAGATAGATAGATAGAAAGAAAATATCATGTGTTGGCAAAGGTGCAGAGAAATAAGAACCTTCATACGTTGATGATGGGAATGTAAAATGGTGCAGCCACTTTGGAAAGCAGTCTGGCGGTTCCTCAACAGGTAAAACTTAGAGATACTACATGACTGAGCAGTTCTACTCCTAGGACTATGCCAGAGAACTGCAAGCATCATACGTTCATGCAAAAACTTGTACATGAGGGGTGCCTGGGTGGCTTAGTCGGTTAAGCGTCCGACTTTCGCTTAGGTCATGATCTCACGGTTCGTGGGTTCGAGCCCCGCGTCGGGCTCTGTGCTGACTGCCAGCTCGGAGCCTGGAGCCTGTTTCAGTCTGTGACTCCCTCTCTCTCTGACCCTCCCCTGCTCACGCTGTCTCTCTCTCTCTCTCCTAGAAATAAATAAAAATACAAAAAAAAATTACAAAAAAAAAAAAACTTGTACATGAATGTTCACAGCAGCATTGTTCATGATAGTCAAAAGGTGGAAACAACACAGCCCATCAATTGATGAATGGATAAATAAAATGTGGGATATCCATACAATGGACTGATATTTGGCAATAAACAGAAACAAGTACTGGGGTGACTGGGTGACTCAGTCAGTTAAGCACCTAACTTCTGATTTTGGCTCAGCTCATGATTTCTCAGTTTGTGAGACTGAACCCCACATCTGGTTTAGTGCTTACAGCACAGAGCCTGCTTGGGATTCCCTCTCTCTCTCTCTCTCTCTCTCTGCCCCTTCCCCATGCTCTCTCTTGTGTGCTCTCTCAAAATACATAAGCATTTTAAAAAGAAATTAAGTACTGACACGTGCTATGACACAGTATAGATGAACCTTCAAAACACACTGAGAGAGACTGGATTCAAAAGGCCACATGTTGTATGATTCCACTTCTCTGAAATGTCCAGAAGAGGCAGATCCATAGACAGGAAGTAAATCGGTGGCTGCCTGAGGATGAGAGAATTGGGGGGAGGGGGAGTGGCTGATGATGAACATAGGGTCTCTGTTGAGGATGATCCAATTTTCTAAATTGACTGCAGTGATGGTCGCATAACTTTATTAATATACTAAAAACCACTGAATTGTACATTTTAAAAGGGTAAATTGGGGGCACCTGGGTGGCTTAGTCGGTTAAGCGTCCGACTTTCGCTTAGGTCATGATCTCGCGGTTTGTGGGTTCGAGCCTCGCGTCGGGCTCTGTGCTGACTGCCAGCTCAGAGCCTGGAGCCTGTTTCAGTCTGTGACTCCCTCTCTCTCTGACCCTCCCCTGCTCACGCTGTCTTTCTCTCTCTCTCTCCTAGAAATAAATAAAACATTTAAAAAAAAGGGTAAATTGTATGGTATGTGGTTCATATCCTAATGAAGCTGTTATATTAAAAACAAGGAACTATCCCTAGCTCCCCATTGTCCTGGGGCATTCAAAACTCTGCCAAGCCTGGGGCGTCTCTCTTGACCAGAGGGGGGTCCCCAAATGTGGGGCAAGGATCAGGTGGAAGCCAGTGGCATGGAGGTGAAAGCCAGTGTTCATCTGAGGCAGAACAAAGGAGAGAGAAGTTTACTGAATGCGCCAAGGGAATAGCAGGTCTGGACAGCAGAGGGGAGATTGCAAGGAGGCAACGGGTTGGGGGGTGGAGCCATAGTTACAGTGAGAAGGTGGGGAGGTATGGGGACTTTTCCCCTTCTAAGTAGCCCATTTGGTCAGGTGGGGCCTATGGATGTTCTGAGGTGGGTCTCCCGATGGGCCCTTCTGTGTTCAGCCAGGTGGCCGCCCTGGGCCCTTGTGCCTTGATCAAGTTTCCATTGCTCAAGCCCATTATCTAAAAGCAGCTTCTAAATTTTTTTTTAATATTTATTTAATTTTGAGAGAGAGAGAGGCAGAGCTGGAGCGGGGGAGGGGTAGAGAGAGAGAGGAGACACAGAATCCGAAACAGGCTCTAGGCTCTGAGCTATCAGCACGGAGCCCCATGCAGGGCTCAAACCCATGAATCACGAGATCATGACGTGAGCCAAAGTCGGCCACTTAACCGCTTAACCGACTGAGCCTCGCAGGTGCCCCTAAAAGCAGCCTCTATAAAGCGTGGTCCCATCTCACACCTTGCCCTAATAGTTCCTTCCATCAGGGAAGCTCTTCCTGAGCGTGATATCATCAGGGTTCATTCCTCCAGCTCCCTCAAATGTCGCCTATGCAGTAGGATCTTGTCTGACACCCTGCCTCATATTGTAACTCCCATGCCCCTCACCTGGCTCTTTGTTTCATCCATAACATTACCTTTTAACATTGTATACAATTTACTCGTTTTATTTACAGTCTGTTTTCCAACTGATGTGCCAAAGGGCAATAGGTATGGTTTACCAGAGTACAGGCAAAAAGGGGGTGTGCTGTCCATAGAGAATTTAAAAAATAAATAAAACCTGGCCAAAAGTCAGTCCAGTTTTTTTTCAACCATGCACTGACAAATTCTAAGCAATATCAGTGATAAAATAATCCTCCAAAATAATCCAAAAATCTTTCATTGGTTTACTTGTAAATGATGCAATTACTGTTGAGTTTTAATTTTTTTAATTTTTATTTTTTAATGTTTTATTTATTTCTAGGAGAGAGAGAGAGAGAGAGTCAGCATGAGCAGGGGAGGGTCAGAGAGAGAGGGAATCACAGACTGAAACGGGCTCCAGGCTCTGAGCTGGCAGTCAGTACAGAGCCCAACGCGGGGCTCAAACCCACGAACCGCGAGATCACGACCTAAGCGAAAGTGGGACGCTCAACCGACTAAGCCACCCAGGTGCCCCATATTGAGTTTTAATAAAAGCCTTCCAGTGAAGATATTTTTATTACTGTCCTTTAGTACACATTGTATTTATAATAGCTTTCTATTGTTACATAATAAACTACCAGAAACTTTGTAGCTTAAAACTTACTGTTTCATGGTTTCCGTGGATCCTGGCCAAACATGGGTTAGCTGAGCCCTCTGCTGCATGGTGTCACTAAGCTGTAATCCAGGTGCCAGCCTGCCAGCCAGGGCTGCTGGCTCAATAGAGGCTCAGCTGCGGAAAGATCTGCTTCCAATTGCTTGACCTTGAAGGATGAGGTCTTCATTTTCCTGCTGGTTATCAGTGGGGGCTGCTCTCAGCTCCTAGAAGTGAAATCCTTGCCATATAACTTTCTCCATATGTGGCAGCTTATTTGTTTCAAAGCCAGCAATAGAGAGTTTCTCTCTCCAGTCCACTAAGAATGAGTCTTGGGGTGCCTGGGTGGCTCAGTTAAGTGTCCGACTTCATCTCTTCGGGGATCCCCTGTCTTCTTCCCCCACTTTCAAAAATAAATATTTTAAAAAAGGAGTTTTACATAATATAATGTAATCATGAACTTCCTTTGAAACATTCTATTGAGGAGAAGCAAATCCCAGGTCCTGCTCACACTTGAGGGGAGGAGGATTATACAGGCCATGAGCATGGGGGCTACCCAACATCTGTTTGCTACAAAATTCTAGGCAAGGTTATATAGAGAACGCCCAGGGTGCCTGGCTGGCTCAGTCAGTCAAACATGTGGACTCTTGATCTCAGGGTCATGAGTTTGAGCTCCATGTAGGGGGTAGAGATTCCTTAATAATTAATTAATTAATTAAAAAGAATAATTAAAAAATATAGAGAGAGAACTCCCAGGTATACCTCTGACACATAAAGACTCAGGTTCATTTTGATAGTAAGTTCATAACAATTTGGTATCATTTGGACTTGTGCAGTTTGAGTCTCCAATCTCAGTGATTCTACTTACTTTTTCATTTAAGTAATAATAGATTAGAAGCTAAAATAATAACACAAGGATTGTAAAGATGAAGGAATTATTATGTAATTGTATATATTCTTTTGAAATTTTTGTTTGAAATAGTGAATCAGGGTATGAACTGCAAAATGCAATATTTTTATTTGGTAAGTGAAAATGTTCATTCATACGTGAAATATTTTACTGAATTGAGTAATATCTTTGAAATTAAGATTTATTCATTTTTTTCTTTTTTTAATTTTTATTTTTCTGAGAGAGAGAGAGAGAGAGACAGCGACAGCGTAAGCAGGGGAGGGTCAGAGAGAGAGGGAGACACAGAATCTGAAGCAGGCTCCAGGCTCTGAGCTAGTTGTCAGCACAGAGCCCGACACGGGGCTTGAACTCACAAACTATGAGATCATGACCTGAGCCAAAGTCGGACGCTCAACCGACTGAGCCACCCAGGCACCCCTCAATTGTTAATTTTAAAACTAAAACTAATTTTAAAATTAAAAATGATTCTTATGTGATTCTTATTGAAAATAACTTTCTGGGGGCGCCTGGGTGGCTTAGTCGGTTAAGCGTCCGACTTTCGCTTAGGTCATGATCTCGCGGTTCGTGGGTTCGGGCCCCGCGTCGGGCTCTGTGCTGACTGCCAGCTCAGAGCCTGGAGCCTGTTTCAGTCTGTGACTCCCTCTCTCTCTGACCCTCCCCTGCTCACGCTGTCTCTCTCTCTCTCCTAGAAATAAATAAAACATTAAAAAAAAGAAAAGAAAAGAACTTTCTGGTAGAGCAGAAGAGGTATAAAAAAGTTATCCATGGGGCGCCTGGGTGGCTCAGTTGGTTAAAGCATCTGACTTCGGCTCAGGTCACGATCTCAGGGTTTGTGGGTTAGAGCCCTGTGTCGGCTCTGAGCTTGGAGCCTGCTTCAGATTTTGTGTGTCTCTCTCTGCCCCTTCTCCCACTCATGCTTTCTCTCTCTCTCAAAAATAAATATTAAAAAAATATTTTTTAAAAATATTTTTATTTATTTCTAGGAGAGAGAGAGAGCGTGAGCAGGGGAGGGTCAGAGAGAGAGGGAGTCACAGACTGAAACAGGCTCCAGGCTCTGAGCTGGCAGTCAGCACAGAGCCCGACGCGGGGCTCAAACCCATCAACCGCAAGATCATGACCTAAGCGAAAGTCGGACGCTTAACCGACTAAGCCACCCAGGCGCCCCTAAAAAAATATTTTTAAGTTACCCACTCCAGGTGTCAAATATGCTAGTTCTACTGCTGTTTCCAACATTACAAAGTGAGTTTCAACAGGGCAGGAAATTTGCTTTGTTCACTGTTGTATCTTCTCCAGCATTTACAACAGCACCTGGCTCATGTGGGTGCTCAATGCATATGCTGAATGGACAGATGCGTGAATGAATGGATGAATGAACCTGTGACTCCTCTCTGGCCTCAACTCTCACCAATGCCCTGTCTTCAGGCTCAAGCTCTGGCTTAGTGGGATGGGATGGGGGTGGGAGATTTGGGTGCTAGAGAGACCTCTGTCCTCACATTCAGATTCTTGACGCTGGGTGCTAGGACCTCACTGCAAGATTAAAGATGGTGGACAAAGAATTTTTTTGATTTTTTTCTCTTTTTTAAAGTTTATTTATTTTGAGAGAGAGAAAGTGTGTGTGTGTATGTACACAAGCAGGGAGGGGCAGAGAGACAGGGATGAGAGAGAATCCCAAGCAAGCTCTGCAATGTAAGTGCAGAGCCCAATGTGGGGCTTAAACCTATGAACCATGAGATCATGACCTGAGCGGAAATCAAGATTCAGATGCCTAACAAGCTGAGCCAGCCAGGTGCCCCCCCAACCACATTTTTTTTTTTTTAGTGTTTATTTATGAGAGACAGAGAGACAAAGCATGAGCAGGGGAAGGGCAGGGAGAGGAGCCACAGAATCTGAAGCAGGCCCCACGCTCTGAGCTGTCAGCACAGAGCCTGACGCGGGGTTCAAACCCAAGAACGGTGAGATCATGACCTGAGCTGAAGTTGGCCGTTTAACTGACTGAGTCACCCAGGCACCCCCACCCGCCAAATTTTTTTAAAATAAAGAAAAGGGGTTCAACAGCCTGGAGCCTGCTTCAGATTCTGTCTCTGGCTCTCTTTGCCCCTCCCCTGCTCACGCACCGTCTCTCCCATGCACCCTCTCTCTCTCAAATGCAAATAAACATTTAAAAAAATAAAATAAAACGGGGGGGGGGGGTGCCTGGCTGGCTTAGTCAGTAGAACCTGCAACTCTTGATCTTAATGAGTTCCAATCCCATGTTGGGTATAATTACTTAAAAACAAAATCTATAGAAAGAAATGCACAAAACTTTAGTTGCGTAAGGTAAACACCATTTTGATAACCTAATTAAGGCTTTTCACATATTATTATGACAGGAGGGAGGCTGAATAGTGGGAGTAGCCCTGGATCCCTTAAGGCACTGTTGTTGTCTTTCTTGCCTGTTGTGTTCGCTGTTCCTGTAGCTTGGGGAATGTTCCTGTAGCTTGGGGAATGTGGAATGTTCGCCTATCAGCCCTTCTTATCCTTCGGTTTATTATCAAAGCTGCCTCCTCACTTCCACCGCCCCAGTCCCTGATCATTCAGTCTGTGCTTCCCTGTTACTCCCCCAATCACTCTGTCCTATGCTTCGGTCATCACTACTCTAGGCTGTTCCTGGCTGGTGAGGAAGGTGCCAGTCTGACGTGGGCACTGCTGGATTTCCTCCAGCAACGCGCCAAGTAGGCGCTCAGTGAACGCTGAATTTAGGAAGAAGCAAATCCCTCGCCCTCGAAGAGGAGCTGAAATGAGGCGGGCTTCCAAGCCGGGAACCATGGGGTCCCAAGATGAGCATATCTGCACCCTGTGCTCCCACCCCGAGGCCCAGCCCAAGAGCGAGGGTACTCGGACGTCACCAAGCCGCGGAGCACGGTAACAACAGCCTTGGGGCTCCGCAGGCTTGCGTTTCCTCACCGGCTAAATCCTGCTCCGGGCGGAGCCAACGCAAGCCCTGCCCCTTTCCCCCAACCCTGGGTCCAGCCCAGGTGCTCCGAGGGAGGATTGCCGCCCAGGTGCCTGCTCCCTGCGCCTGCGCTCTGCGTGCTCCTCCTCGGCAGGTGCGCCCCGCCCCCTCCCTGGCCGGCCACCTTCGGCGGCTGCTTCGAGGCGCCCGCTATTGGCCCTACCGCCCACCGAGCGCGTGTAGGTGTGGTGGGGGTCTGAACGGTGGAAGGGTCTCTAAGTGTCGCCGAGGGCAAGGAACGAGTGAGGGGCGGACAGAACATCGCGGGCGTGCCAGACAGAGCGTCCGCACACCGAAGGTCCGCCAGAGACTCCGGCGGGAGCGCCAGCGCGACACTCCGCAGACCCTCTGGGAGCGCCGGCACCTGAACGCGAGGCTCCCCAGTGCGCGTGCGCGGCAAGGGTCTTCCCGCACCTGATCGCGAGACCCTAACGGCCAGCGGCTCCAGGCTTCGCCTGCGCGGCCGGGTGGAGCCCGTCATGGCGCAGCTGTGTGGTCCAAGGCGGTGCGGGGCGCTCCTCGCCCTGCTGGCCTCGCTGCTCCTCCTCGGGGCTGAGGCTGCCGACGGAGAACCTAGCGTCCACGGTGAGGGCCCGGGAGGGTCTCCTGGGAGGGGTGGGAGGCTGAGAGGCCGAGGGCGGGGCATTAGGGTCTGGGGGCTGCGTTGGGGTGCGAGGGGTAAGGTGTGGACAGGGCGAATTGGCGGAAGAGGAAATTGGGGGCGACCCGGTGAAGCGGGGGTGTGGCGGAGCCGGCTGTGGGAGATTGAGAATGGGGAAGAGATTTGGGAGCCTTTGGGAGTGAGGACGGGCGGCGGTGCCTGCGTTGGTAAAGTTTCCTGAGGGTGAGGGAGGAGACTAGGGCTATTGACCAAGAAGGAGTGGCATTGGCCCACAGGAAGGGGGTGAGAGGCGCGACAGAAGACCAGCCTCTTCCTGGCAGAGGAAAGTTCCATGGCCCAGGGAGGCCAAGCTTGAGAGGGTGGGGGTGGGAGTAGGTGACGCAGTTTCAGCCTCTGAGAAAAAGCCCCCTGGCCCACCTCTTTGGATACTAGACGACAGTCCCCCCCGACCCCCCGAGAAATTTGAGGTAGAGCGCTTCCAAAAAGAAAGGCGTTTCACTGTGGTCTCCAAAGGAAGGAGAAGCAAAGCAAAAGTGTTGGAGGGGAGAAACGTTACCGGGGTGCAAGAGCGGGAGGGGGGGCCTTTTCGTATAAGAAGAGTAATGGCCTTGAGCAGCGGGGGTTGGGTTTGTGAAACTGGGCCTTAGAAGCCGGTGGAGAAGATAAGGCCCAATGGAAACCTCTACGTTTTACGGAAGTTTGGCCTGAAACGTCGTTTTGAACAAATGTTACAACCTCAGCTGCTTCAGACGAGCACAGCGAGGCTTTGGGGTGGGGGGAAAAAAAGACCCATTTGAAAGAAGAATTCACTGATTCAACAAAACTTATTGAGACCCTGCTATGTGTCAGGGATGGCGCTGGCACCGCTGATAACAGTTGTAACTCCCCTGACTGGCCAGGTCCCAGCACTTGAAGAGCTTATATTTTAGTGGGAGGGACTAAGACAGTGAGTAGGTAAACATTTAGATAAAGAGCAGTCACCACGGTATTAAATTACTAAGAAGTACATGAACAAGGTGAAGTACACAAACAGGATGATGTAAGATGATGGGGGCCGCTTAGCTCAGGTGGTCAGGGGAAGTCTTGCTGAGCCCTCACAACAATGAGGCACACCACACCAGAGCCTTGAGGATGAGGGTCCCATCGGAGGTAACGGAGTACAGAGGCTTTGAGGCCGGGGCGAGCCTGGTGGTATTCAAGGGAAAGACAGAACTATCATAGCAGGAGGTGGGAGAAGTAGTCAAGAGTCAGGTGGCTTTATCAGCCAGCATTTTGGGTGGAAGGAGAGAAAGGATGTGTGTACACGAAGCCATCACCCCTGGTGGCTTCTGAAGACTGTTAATTTCCCGAAGCCAGAGGCAGAGAGGAAAAAACGAGCTAATGGGGATGTCAGGGGTCAGTGGGAGAGGATTGGCTCTATAGGTCAAGGAGTCAAGAATACAAGTGTTGATCATTCTTGCAGTGTGAACTAGAATTTGACAGTACTTCTGCACTTTTTCAGTGACATGATTATGTTCGGGTGTACCTTCCAGTTACCTGACCTGGACTTTTTTTTTTTTAATGTTTTATTTGTTTTTGAGGGAGAGAGAGAGACAGCGTGTGCAGGGGAGGGTCAGAGAGAGAGGGAGACACAGAATCCGAAGCAGGCTCCAGGCTCTTAGCTAGCTGCCAGCACAGAGCCCGACGTGGGGCTTGAACCCACGAGCCGTGAGATCATGACCTGAGCTGAAGCCGGATGCTTAACTGACTGAGCCACCCAGGCGCTCCTGGCCTGGACTTGCTCAAAACTGTGTTTGGGGTTCACCTCTAGTGCTGACTCTATGCTCCTGTGTGCTGTTTAATCCTTGAAACGACCTGGTTTTCGTGGTGAAGTTACAGGCCTTGCCTAAGGTCACACAACAGTAATTGACAGCCACGTCCGGCTTCAGAGGCCTTCTCTTTAGCCAGTGACCTTTCTGGCTGGACCTCCTGACCTTTCAGAAGTACTTCTGTCTGGCTGTGTGAACTAATGACCCTGCTTATCTGAAGTTCTATTTGTTTGAAAGCTTTCAATAGTTTAGTTTGAGGTGAGAGGTGGTTTTCATTCCCCACCACCCTTTCTTCTGATTGCTTTGACTTTTCTCAGGTAGCTAGGTCTTCCACTTAGAGCCAGGTGTTTCTCCAGCCACTTGCAACTGCCTCGGTGCCTCTAGAGCAGTCTGAGGAAGTGGGGATTTGTGTCGTCAATTTGTAAGGGGTGATCATCGTGATTAGTCAAGGAATCAAATCTGTGTGAGGACGTGATGGGGTTGAGGGGTAGAGGAAAGGCGGGGAAGGTGGTGGTCAGCTAACTGTTGGAGTTGAGGTTTTGGAGGGTATGAATTGGAAAGATAGGATGCAGTGGGTGGTGAGTGAGCTTCCTTGCGGGAAGCTGCAAGGCTGTGCTTAATAAGACAACGTCTAGGCATAACCATTGGGGAGAGGGGCTGGAGAAGAGGAGGTCTAGGAACCAAGAGGCCAGGATGGTCCGAGGGTCACCTACGTGGGTATAGAAATCACTAAGAATGATGAGAAGCTGCTTGGAAGACAGTGAGCTGGGAGCGGAAGTCATGAAGTGAGGAGTAGTGATTGGGGTTAGCAAGGCGATAGCCAGAGTTTTGAGAGGGCAGGTGGAGAATTGTGTAGAAGCAGTGCCAGGAGCAAGGAGATCTACTTGCTTGGAAGGGCACAAGAGAAGGCATGTCGTCACGGGAGGGCAGAGTTTGGTTAGAGTAAGAAGGTGATGAGAATGTGGAAAAGGGAGACTGAGGAAATGAAAGGTTTTGCTTATGGTAGTTGGTGATTTCCAGAAACCCCTGGGAGTTAGGGGAAGAGAGAGGGGACCAAAATAATGTATGGGGATGAGGGGGCTCTGTGGTTGATGTGATAGGCAAGTGATAGGAGTGTCATGTGGTTTCAAGACTGACAGCGTTGGGCAGGTGCTGGGTGTTGGCGGGCCAATAGGAAGGGGCGCGGGATGTAGTGACACTTGGAGGTCCTGACTCTAGATCTCTGCAGATGGAAGGGGGGAAAAGCTGATGCTGCTCTGGGTGTTTGTGGCATTCGGGGAGAGTGCCTGTCAGCCGTGGAAAGGACACAGATTATAAACTGGCCATTCCCAAGGGGTCTCAAACAGGCTCTATGTGACTTGTATAGTTTCTAGAACTGGGGAATTTTTTTATGGAAAAATTTGTCTTGGGGCTCTGCCTGAAAAATGTGAAGATCAGCGGCACCGGGTCAGTGTTTCCGCGTAGCACCTATAGTGCTCTTTTGGAAAGGCCATAAACTGCTCTCCCTCAGTCTTTATGCACTTGGCCTGCCCACTGTATCTCTAAGCATTTGAGTTGTGACACCCCCCCCCCCACACATCTTAATATGCCCAATTTAGGGGCACCTGTGTGGCTCATTTGGTTAAGTGTTCAACTCTTGATTTTGGCTCTTGATTTTTGGTCATGATCTCACAGTTTGAACCCTGCATTGGGCTGACAGTGTGAAGCCTGCTTGGGATTCTCTCTCTCCCTCTCTCTGAGTCACTTGCTCACTCTCTGTCTCTCAAAAATAAATAAAAATGAACATTAGAAAAATATATGCCCCATTTAGTAAATGGAGGTAAAACAGAACACCTCCTTATAAATTGTACAGTGTGTGTGTGTGGGGGGGTGTGTATCATTGTGGTTAGTGAGGGAAAAGCCCTTACCAGGTGGGCACAAACGTGTGTGATTTTTAAAATATCTTCCTGGGTGATAAATCCTGTTACTTGGAGTGCCCCAAAATATGTAATTTTAATTTTGATCAATACAAGGACAGGTAATACATTTGACCCTTGTCTAACACAGGGTTTAGGGGCACTCCTGTGGAGTTGAAAATCGATAATGGAACTTTTGATTAGCCCCCAAAAACTTAAGCTACTAGTAACCTGCTGTTGACTGGAAGCTTTATCAATAATATAGTCAACACATATTCTGTATGTTAGATGTATTAAATACCGCATTATTGCAATAAAGTAACCTAGAGGAAAGAAAGTGTTACTAAGAAAATCATAAAGAGGAAAGTCAACTGTATATTCTTTTCAGAATTGAACCTCAGCAATTCCTCTGGGAAGTTTCAGTGTAGTTCTTGCTGCCAATAACTTTATGCCTGATCTTGGGCATCAGAACTCGCATTAGTGGCTACTAGGCTCACAGTCCTTTGTTGATTGTTCTTGGGAATTTCCATTGGAGAGAAGTGCAGCAGCCTTCATTTGAGAGCCTCCACTGCACTTTAAAGTGAGCTTCAGTTTCCATCAGCCTCTTGGGTTAATTACAGTTCCCCCAGAACTTTGAATGAAAGGACCAATTTTCCAGCACCTCTCTGTTAGTCATCACTTCTTTCTCTTCACCCCCAGGGATGGTTGTAAACTGAGTGGTCAGAGATAGGACACATGAGAGCCAAAGTGCAGTTGGTGTTGGTGATCAGCTGAGGGCTCTCCAAAGTAGCATCTTGTGTTCTTGGCCTTCACAGAAGAAGCCCTTGTTTTGCTTGCTCTCGAGACAGTTTGGTTCCAGGACAGTCTGAAATATTTATTCACTGATTTATTCAAGACACATTTATTGAACACCAACATGCCAGGTACAGTTTCCGGCTCTGGAAACAGCACTGAATGAAACAAATGACCTCCTGATCCATGGCACCTACCTCGTAACGAGAGGAGGACAATACAATAAATAAACGAATGATGAGTATATATCTGGTGATGAGTACTATAAGAACAGTAAGACATGGTTTGGTGTGTCTTTTGTGTGTCCACAAATGGTGGCCGTCTCTAAAGACAGTGAGGGCCATACTTTCAGGTCCACCAAGGGAACGCGGCCCCTTTCCACCAGAAACATTCCTTTGCCTTGGTCAGTGTTTGAGAGCTCAGCCTGTGATAGAGAAGGCAAACTTCTCTTTCACCTGGCTCCTGGAG